ATATCACTTTAAAAAAATTCAAAGACATAAGCCTTGAAATTACCTTTCACCTCTATATATAAAAATTAATAATTCAGTTTAAATTATTTTAATTAGTATAAATTTTAATCCTCGATCTTCTTTTCATCGTTCATTAAGTTCATATGAACGATGTGAACCAAACAAACTACTCATTTCAATTCAATCAATTCGGTTCTTTATTTCTTACCAAATTGTCACTAATATTTTTTATTAGAGTTGAATAAAAAAATGGGTAAAGTATACAAATGGTCTCCTGACTATATTACATTGCTTTTTTAAGTCTCATGACTGTTGAAAGTTACATAATGATCCTCCTAACTATAGGATGTTGTTTTGTTGAGTCCATCAACTATTAAAAGTTATCAAATGGTCACTGGACTGATCATCATGTTCCAAACTCGTCCTTTTTCGTTAAAAAATTTACGATAGTCTGAGCTAGATGTTAATACATTTTTTGAGATATGATAATCACTTGAGATTCTAAGATCAGATTTTATCATATCTCCAAGATCATATTAATATTCAACTCATATGGTCGTCAATTTTTTAACAGAAAAAGACAAATTCGAAACATAATCAATAGTTGAGTGACCATTTTGTAACTTTTAATAGCCAATGACTCAATAAAGCAACAGCATATAGCCAGAAGACCATTTTGTAACTTTTGATAGTTGGAGGATTAAAAGAGCAACATCATGTAGTCGGGTAACCATTTGTATACTTTACCCTAAAAAATATGAGAAACTTAAAGCAAAGGCATCTTGACTGTGTTAAAAAGTAGAATAAATGAGAAGGAAGAGAGACAAAAGTCGGAGGAATCTATTAGATGCAGAAAAGCACGTTGTTTCATTCATTGATTCTCCTTTGCATGCAGCCCAACCCACCGCTCTTATTTCTTTACTGCTAACCCTCCAACGGTTTAATTTATTTATTTATTATATTTTAATCGGAGTAAAAGTATTTTTCTCAGCTGTTAAAAAATTACTCCATTTTATTTGATATATTTCCTCCCATTTTAAAAGTAAGGACCAAAATGCACTCCGTGTTATAGTATTGGACCTATGCAATACTTTAATATAAATTATTGATTATATATTATTATAATAATATATTAAAATAATTAAATTATGATACGAAAATAACAACACATGATATAAACTCCAAAATACGTCAAACTAGATATAATATAATTTTTATTATTAAGTTAATGTGATTACAAAGTAGTATATGTTCTAAATACTCTAAACCTTTCAATAATTAACGCTCAATCACTCTGTTGCGTTCGTTGGTGCTCGAACTCATAACCCCTAGGAACAAAAACGATTCCTTTAACCATTTAGGTAAGTTGATTCGTGTTAAATATAATATATTTACACTTTGTATTAAAATTTATAAAAATTATATAATATCTAAACGTTGATTAATAAAAAATGAAATTAAATGCCTATATGTATTAATTAATTATCAAGTTGAATAGGCAACCAAATTAGACTTAAAACTATAGCTTGCCTGCCACTATTATTTCCCATGTAAATTGAAGTATAAGTTGTTTATGGTATAATTTCATAAATGGCCCTTAAAATTGATTAAATCTGTTAATGAGGATGCCTACCCTAATACTATCAAAACCGTTTGTCATTGTCGTATACGGCAAGTGCGCACTAAGGACGGACAGGGAACTTGGCTCCCATAAATGGTAAAATTATTGTTTAATCCCTTTATAAATTTTAAATTTATAAAAATACAATAATGAAATCATACTTTGACCCCTCAAGAAATTTTATAATTCAGTTGTAATCTTCCAAAAACTTTCAGTCATCACCTGTTATAACCAACAATAACAGTAACGATTGATATGTCAACAATTCGATGATAACATGTGGTAACCATTGATTTATTCACAAATTAAATAATTAATATATAGATATTTTATTTAAATTTTGAAAAATATATAATAAGCTTATAATAGATTAATATTTCAATAGAATAAACGTGCACGCAATCTTTTGCATTAAGTTGTGTAATAATTTTAGAATAAATATATATTTTAATATTTAATTTTAATTTTAAAGTATAATATATATTTTAAATTTAGTTCAAATATTAAAATATTTATTTACCAGGAATATTAAGAATAATAAACTTTTTTTAATTAATATGAGGTAATTATAAGGTAATACATACTTAAAGATAACTCTCAAATTATTTGATGTTAAACACTTATATCTTTGATATTCATGATACTCAAACCTAGAATATCAATAATTTTTTATCATTGAGGTCGTTTGCAGTGGCATAACACAAATTAGACTAGAGTGGGTTATGGTCCCCCAAAATTTTAAAAATTATAATTTAGACCCTTAAAATTTTCAAAAAAAATAATATGGTATCCCATAACTTTTAGAAATTCAAATTAATTTTTTTTTTACTGTTTTAGTTAGGCCCCTCCCATGATTTTAAAATTTTCTCATTAAGCTTATAAAATTTCAAAAAAATTAATTAGACCCCATTTTTGGGGAAAATAAACTAAACCCTTCAAAATTTTAAAAGTCTTAATTTAAACCTTTAAATTTTTTAAAATTTCAAGTTGCTCTCGAATTCTATCACCAAATTTCGCCGCTGATGATCCATGCAAGAATAACGAACTTTAATAATAATTTACAGCTCAAAACGATGCTATTTTTGTCATCCATGTCATAAAATATAAGGATCGGTCCAAAGGGCATAAGTAGGGTGGGAATAAAATGAATAGTGGGCAATAGCCATAGATGCGAGACCACTCCTAAACCTAATAAAAGTAGATTCCATGCTATTGCCTATGTCCTCCAAATCCAAAGGCAAATTTAGTTCAATAAACCTATATTAATGTTTTTCTCAAATTTTATATCAAGAAAAATAATTCATTTTTTTATATGGGTTCAAGTGTATATATCTGTCACTAAAAGTATAGGAGAGGGGAGATTGGACCTTGATTTATTATATTTCATATTTAACACGAACATAAAATGTAATTAAACCAAAACAGTGATAAATCTAGGGTAAGTCATCCCGAGTCACTCTACTATTCGTAATAATACAAATGAGTCGTTGAATTTTAAAAAGTTACAAACAAATCGTTCAATTAATCAATAGTTATAAACTCGTCGTTTTTTCAGTAATGACGTGTTTGTAATGTTTTGAAATTCGGTGACATGCTTATAATATTACTAATGATTGATTCTCTCATATAATGTACCCATAAATCTAGGACCTGATCTTCAAATATTCAAATCAACCCTCTTTGCTATTTATTCAAAAATATCTCAAAATGACATCATTACTATAATGGTTTCATTGTTTTCAGTGTAGAAACAGTAGCAAAACCCACCTTTACCTAAAAATTTGTTCTCTAAATCTTATCATGATAAGGCCACCCCCCCCCCCAAAAAAGTATTATCATGATAATGAAAGAATGAAAAATCTTATCATCAAAAGGAGGAAAGTTTGAGGTTGAATTCAATAATCTAAGGTCTAATTATGAATTTTGAAAAGCTCCTTTTCTAAATTTAGAAGCGGGTTTCATTGACATGGAAGAATTTAGACGTGAGAAATGCATGAAACTCGTTTTTCGTAAAATGTGAAGTTTAATTTCGTGTTTTTGTAGAACGTGAGGTATTTTCACGTAGATCATTTAAGGATAATTTTTTAAATAATGTTAGTTGGGAGTCATTTTTCTAATAAAATAAAAAAAGATAATTGATTTAAAAAACCCTAACTGGACACTAGGATAGAAACAAATCAGTAAATGGTGTTTGAAAATTAAACAAAAAATTAATTATAAAATAAGTCCTTTACAAAATCTGATCATTCTATTTTATTTTGCCTAAACTTGATCATTATGTTAAAAGTAGACAAATTAGTATAATTTGATGATAAAGTCTTGTTAAATGATTAAATTAATAATTAATAGTTCATATGTAAGAATTAATAAAAACTAACAATTTAATTATTCAAACGTGATAAATTAATAAGCAATAATAATATTTTATATTAATATGTTAACATAACACTCTATTAAATTACTTTTTTTATTTTTATCAATAATCAATTAGTCTAATAAGACGAGATATTGAATATTTTTAAACAAAATTAGGATCCGAATCTTAACATTATAAATGAAAAAATTGAAAAAAATTATATTATATTAGACTTACACTTAATCTGAATCAATAAATCAAACTAAAGTGATTAACTACAAAAGTAATTTTAAAATTCTTATAAAATTATGAAGATGTTACTCTCTGTATTTTAAAAATTAAAATCAAATACTATAATGGTTAATCTTATATATGTGTGGTCCAAATGTCACCCTGAACCCTAACCAATTAGGGCATGAAGGTCCTAAAAGTACAAAACATGTATAATTAAATACAAAAGACAATAGATTAGTGGTACAACGGCTAAAATATTTGTAGCAGAGTGGACAGGAAAGTCTGATACAGTCCAGCAAAACTGTGGCATCATTTCCCAATTTCCATAATAAAACAACAAATCTCAAATATTTTTTTATTTATTTTTCTGAAAACAAAGAAATAAAATATTTATTGAAAGAGACAGATTAGATAAGCTCAACATGATTATTATCAAAGGGACTGAAATTAAATCCTGACAGACGCGCCTTTTCCTGCGCGTGGATTCCCAAAAAAAACTAAAAACAACAGTGAAGTACATAGATTCTATATTTTTCAGATCAAATTCAACAAAGAAATCGAAAAAAAAAACTTTGAACAATGATGAACTGGAAAGGGGGGGGGAAAGGATATTTACAGCTAAATTCTACGATTTTTTGTTAACTTAAAATTGAGAAGTGATGGAGAGCAATGTCAAAGAACCCTCATTACATAAGATCTCATAAACAGCACATGAATTAAATACTACAGCTACTTACTAATTTAAATACTTGAAAGAAGAGATTTTTTTTTGTTACCGAATCTTGTCTTTTCGTGTTGTTTTCAATGATTCCGATCCGTTGTTTTGCTTCTGTTGCTGTTAATTTGATGGCCCTTGTTGGTTCCCGATGGATTTTTTTGCGGGGAAGACGAAAACAGCTGGCCGAACCCGAAAACCGAACCCGATTTCGAGGATCCCCGCAACGAACAAACGGGGACGTTGAGGACCGGAGTGATCCTAACGTTTGCTGAATACGATCTCTCTACTCCCCTTTGTTTGAACCTCGGACCGCCATTGAAGCTGCTTGGACTGCTTGAGCTTCTTTCCAGGCTTTCAAATACGATTTTCCCGCAAGAATTCATCCTCGGACTATCCACTGAAATTCCCCGGCTCGCCGTTGGTTCCCTCTGGATCGGACTCCGACCCTTCCGAGCCCCACTGGCTACCGTTTGATTACTGTCTGAACCGGACCCTGGTCTGGGTTTAACCATCCTCATTCTCGGTGGGTTTGGGTTTAGGGTTCTAGAGGGAGCAAAAGGGTTGGGACTTGGCTTATCGGCATCAAGTGACAGTCGGGGGAAATCGTCGTGTTCATGACCGGAAGATGATGAAGAAGAAAGGGATAATCTCGATGCAGATATGGAAACTGATTTAGAATCTGAGATTTTTAGCAGTGGAAGACTCGATGAAGACTCCAAGGAAGAAGAAGATTTCGAGCTTCTATGGAGGAAATATTTGAGAGATTTTGGGTTATTATTAGATAATGACGAGATTTTGCTGCTATGAGAGTCTGATTTTGAGGAAAGTTGTTGCTGCTGATTATTGTTAGTGTTTGTTGTTGAACACTTTTTAAGCCCCAATAGTTCCCTCCACCGGCTCGAACAACTCGGAGCTTTGGGAGAAAACAAGTAATGATCCGACCCGGAAACCTCCATTTCTATTCCGGGGCAAGAACTTGAAGTTTCGCGGGATCTGATGGCGTTCAGAGACGGATGCTGATGCCGACGTTCTTGTTCGTGTTCTTGTTGTTTAACGGCGGATAAATGCAGAGGCATGAGTTTGCCGTCTGAAAAAAGCTCGTCAGCCGGGAGCATGGAGGCGGGATCAACAAGCCTGAACTCAAACTCTCCCGCCGGAACATCTCGGATTTCCGTCGATTCAGGATCATCCTTCGACTTCGACGACGACTCTTCTTCTCGGCTGAACGAAATCCTTGGACTCAACCAACCGAACTGGAAACTCTCCGGCGGAACGCCGATGTTGTTAACACAAGCTGAAGCCATGAAAATATACCAAAAAATGAAAAACGCTGTTAAATAAGGGAAATTACATTTACATTTGGGGTTGATAACTATAAGATGTGGGATTTGAGATCTGGGTTTTAACTTATTGACAGCTGCTTTGATCTTCGGATTTTTGGCTTTGTTTGTTTAGGGTTTGGAGGAATTAGGCATGTGAGTGAAACAACTGTGAAATTGCGTGAATCAGCCATTAATTTATAGTCTGTTTATAAAGCATAGTGGAAAATTGGCTCATCTTTGCAAGTATTTTAGGGGTAGGCCACGTGGTCTTATTTTTCTCATATATATATATATATAAAATGTCAAATAAAGTATATTGTATCTAAATGATGGAACTTTTTTTATAATATAATATTTGTTCAAAAGACTCTTAATTATTTGTTAATAAACACTTAAACACTCAAACAAACGATATACTCAAACCTAATACCTCTTAGGATAATAATCATCGTTTTAACTATCATTTTTATATAATTTTATTCGTTTAACTATATTAAAATAATTGAAGACATCTATATATTTTATCCTAGAATTACTCTAAGTAATGTTTGAAAGCTTAATTTAATAATAAGGTTTTGGAAATTTTTTAAAAATAAAAGTCAAATTTTATTATATTTATAAATCCACACATCTATTGTGGTCATAATTATATATATTTAAAAAAATTAGTTATGTCGAAGAAAATGTTATTTTCTTTAAAAGATTTTCATTCAAATAATTATTTTTATAATTTGTGTATTGTCATCGGTTAAAAAATATGATTATAATCCAATAATTATAAGGGTAAAGTTGACAAATGATCCTTAATTATAGGATGTTATTTTATTGAGTCTCATTACTATTAAAAGTTACAAAATGATCAATAAAAGCATTGCTTTATTGAGCCCCTTGACTAATAGTCATCTAACTATTTATATGTTCCAAACTCGTCACTTTTCATTAAAAAGTGATTACATTTGAGCTGAATGTTAACTTGTTAACTGAGATATCATAGTCATTTGAGATTTTAGGATCAAATTTTATCATATCACAGTCAACAGGTTAACATTCATCTCAGATTGTCGTCAATTTTCAACAAAAATGACAAGTTTGGAACATATGAGTAGTCAGATGATCATTTGATAACTTTTAATAGTCGAGTGTCTCAACAAAATAATATTCTACAATCAATTGACCATTTCATAACTTTTAATAGTAAAATACACGTTCGTATACTTTTGAACTTTTTCTAATAAGAATATGACGCAAAATTCGAAAAGTTTGCTTACACGTGAAAGTTGTTATCTTCTCTTGAATTTTGCCCTTTTGAACGTTTTCTTGTTTAGATAAGCAATGCTGCTTCTTTTCCCTAAATATATTTCACACCCTTTCTTCTTCTCGTGACATTGTGCTTCGTTTCCTTCATTTTTTATGATTATTGTTTGGGAAAACTTAAAACCGTTTGAAGTAAAATTATCTGCCACACTTTTTAAAAGAATTCAACCATTTTCTCTGGTAAATAAAAGTAAAAATTACATTAAAACAAAATTTTAAATCACCTTATTGTATACATTATTATAAATTAGCACATACAATGAAATATTAAATCTTTTATAATTTTTGTTGGAATATCTTGGTTGAGCTTTTAACCTTTTCTTTATATGGTAATGTATGATCTTAAATGAAAAATTTATCTTGTTAATGGGTTATAAAAAATATTCTAATTATGTGTTTAGTTTACTTTTATAGTTGTAAATAGGGATGACAAACGGGAACAATTTTATGGATTCCACACCTTACCCGATCCAATTGGGGCGGGGATGTATATAATTCTAGTGGGTAGTGGACGGGTGTGGATTTAGAAAATGATATCTGTCGTGGGTAGTGGGCGGGTGATGGGTTTGAGACCTTACCCACCCCGCATCCGCCTGCCCACTAAATATCCATTAAACTTTGGATCATTATGAATTTAGGTATAATTTTAGAGACTAATTTATAAATCTTAATATTGTATAACATATAACTTATAATTTAACCAAATATTAGGTATAATTTTAGAGACTAATATTATGCTTCTTAATAGACGTATTTGTTTTATGTTTGTTGCTTATGTATAACTTAAGGTTGTTGTCAGGCGGGTCTAGCTGGGTACGTCTTCAGTTGGGTAGTGAGTGTGAGGATGTATTTGAGAATGTACCCTCGTGGGTGGGTGTGGATTTGAAAAATGTAACCCATCATGGGTGGTGGGCGGGTGGTGGATTTGAAAATATTAGGTGGGTATGAAGATAGGGGAGGGGATATCCGCACCCGACTCGTCCGTTTTCCATTCCTAGTTGTAAATAGTCTGTAATTCTAAGTATTTTTCTTTTAATAAAATTAGTGACTTCTGTTAAAAAAAAGTTAAAAATTTAGATATTAATATAATAAATAAAAAATATGGTAAACTATGCATTTAGTATCTAAATTATCAATTTTGGTCCGTTTTACTATCTAAATTTCCAATTTTTTCAAAACCATACCTAACGTTTAGTTTTTTTTTTTCATTTTCGTACCCCATCATTAAAAACTTAACGCGTTTAACACCTAAACTATTAGTTTGAGTCCGTTTTAGTACCTAAACTTTCAAAAAAATTCAAAACTCAACGTTAAATTTTGAATGGGGTTCTAAAATGAAACAAAAACTAAACTTTAAATATGAATTTGAAAATTTTGAAAGTTTAGATACTAAAACGGATAAAATTAACAGTTTAGGTACTAAACTCATAATTTACCCTTGATTTTAAGCAATCAATTAATAAGTGAAAAATGAATAAGCATTTATTGTGAATGCAGTTGCAATAAAGTCAAGTGTGAAATTTATCTGACCTTTTTTTTCCTTTTCATTCTGAACATTACTAGAAAAGTAATGAAAGCCATTTGGTGGTGCAATTCATAGAAAGATCGTTCACCTCAAAATCATTGTCTCGTTGAAGATGGAAAATTGGAGGGAAGGAGGTGGATGTTTCCAAATTTATCACTGTTTCATTGTTGCCTTGTTATGTCCCTATCTTCCTTTTGTTCTATTATGAATTTTAAATTTTGAATTATATTACTATTTTAATAATAATCCTGTCCCAGTCAGTTAGTTTTAATACTTTTAGAGGGTATTTTACGCATAAACACGAACCAATTTATCTCGATGTTTAAAGGAATTGTTGTTGTTTTTAGAAGTCACGTGTTCGAGCACAATCGACTGCAAAGGTGATTGAACGTAATCAGAAGAGATACTATTGTATAATCCACCTTAACTTAATAAAAAAATAGGTACTAAAATGAAATAAAAAGTAAACGTTAGGCATAGTTTATTAAAAAAAATTGAAAGTTAGGTACTAAAACGGAATAAAAGTGATAGTTCAAGTACCAAACATGTAGTTTACCCTAAAAAATATTAAGATAAACAGCGAAAGTGACCTACATAATTAATCTATTTGAGTTTTGTCTTTCTGGTTTTATTTTTTTTATAGGCTTAATGCCCAAATAAGTGCCCAAACTCTGTCTTTTTTGCCAAATAAGTGTCTATGGTTTTTTTTATCCATCCTGGTGCCTAACGTTACAAACGTTACCCTTTTAAGTGTCCAGGTCGTCAACGCCGTTAGTTTTTCCCGTTAAGTGTCACGTGTCAACATCTGGTAATTTTAAAATTTATTTTTTATAAAAAATATTATTATGTTTATAAAAAAACCTAACATTTCTTATATTATAAAACATCCCAAAATACTAAATCCTAACCTTAATCCGCCGGCGGCGCCTTCTCTGGCCACCACCGTCATCACCAACGTAGTTTTTGACATCACCCTAGTTATATGCCGTCTTAATTGTCGTCGATTCACCGTTGAAATCGCATGGGATCACGATTTTCATCATAGGGTTCGTGAGATTTAAAACGTCGATCTGTGGTCGATTAATCGTCAACCAGTCAAGATTTCATAGGGGTTATGGTCACTGGGGGAGGGGAGGCTGGGTGGTCGGTAAAGGGCGGCAATCGACGTGGGTTTAGGGGTTGAAATGAAAGTTTTCAAAGTTTAAGGGTTATTTCAAGTTTTATGTTTTTTAATTTTATATAATTTTTTTTAAATTACCAGGTGTTGACACGTGTCACTTAACAGGGAAAACTAACGACGTTGGCGACCTGGACACCTAAAAGGGTAACGTTTATAACGTTAGGCACCCGGATGGACAAAAAAACCGTAGACACTTATTTGGCACAAAGGGATAGTTTGGGAATTAAGCCTTTTTTATAATGTAAAGTTATTAATTATTTATTATAAATTAAGGGATATAATATGTTCTCTGTTCGATACTTAAAAATGAAAAAAATGGGCTGAGCCTAAATTTTGTTGGATATAACTATCAACATATTGCTTACTTGGATAGATAAAGCTCTTTACTTATCCAAATAATAATAATATTATCATTTTATTAAGGGTAAAGAAGAGAAATGGTCACCCGACTCTAGGATGTTGCTTTATTAAGTCTCTCAATTATTAAAAATTACAAATTCATCCTCTAACTATAGAGTGTTGTTTTGTTAAGTCCCTCGACTATTAAAAGTTACAAATAGTAACCCGATAATTCATTATGTTCTAAACTCGTCATTTTCCATTAAAAAATGGATGATATTATGAGCTGAATGTTAATTTGTTGACCTTGATATGATAAAACCTGATTATAGAATCTCAAACGACTATCATATCTTAGTAATCATTTTAACGTCCAGCTTAAGCAACCGTTAATTTTTAACGGGAATTGACGAGTTTGGAACATAATGAATAGTCGGGTGACCATTTTGTAACTTTTAATAGTCGAGGGATTTGACAAAGCAACATTATATAGTCGAATGATCATTTTATAACTTTTAATAGTCGATGGACTTAAGAAAGTAGTATTCTATAGTTGGGGGACCATTTATGTACTTTACCCTTTTATTAAAAAAGAGTAATAACAAATTTTTCTAATTTTGGGCCAGGCCACGGTAGAATGTCGTGGTACAATTATCAGTCACATCCTAATATTTTGACGTAATATATATTTGAGATAAACTTCGATTGGTGGGTTAGTTGACAATCTCTACAAATAATACAAGATAAGATTGGAGTCATTTGGTTATGAAATAAGCAAGTGGGCATATTTTTGCAATTGCTTTAAAATTAAGGACCCCAACACGTCATCTGGTTTGCCCAATCTGTTTGTCTACTTAAACACCTGTCTTTCTAGTTGTTATCTTGTTCCTTCCACCATTCAACAGTTTCGACAATGTTCACTTTGCATGGGTCAATTAGATTTCAATTAGATTTAGACTTCAGTTGGGCCAAATCTCTTACTATATACATTACTAACATGTACTTAATTAATTAATTTAAAAGGATTACGTACATGATTGATTATGTTCATCATTTATGCTTTATCCATTTTTTTTCGTCGATTTCAAAAAATATAACACGTGGTTGCTTTCGTTTTTATTTAATTAAGATGTAGTATTGAGGGTTAATTGTTTTAACGGATTGTTGATGCGACATAGTAAATATATAAAATTAAAAAAAGGGTGAATCACACGAATGGTTGCTAATAATTTAATAAATTTTTATTTTTCAAATGAAGCTTTTAAAACAACAAATCGGCCGATACCGTTTTGTGATATGTGTCCCCTTAAGCTGTTTCTTCACTCCTCTTACTCCACACCGCGCATTAAGAGTCGAAGAATGCACAGAAAAATAAAAAGCCATGAAAAGGAAATAAAGAAAATAAACCTTCGAATTGAAATTTTTTCGAACTTTCTCATCCTTGAATTCTCATCTTCATCGGTATGAAATACTTCATCAAATTTCTGCAGCCCACTTTTGATAGATGAGTGAGTGAGAGAGATAATAGAAGAATCATATAGAACTATTTAAAGATTTAGTGACCAAATTATTAATTTTAAATTTCAGTGAAGAAAAAAAAAGTTTATTGAAATATTATTGACAACTTGTGTAGTTTACCCTTTAAAATTTATATTTTCATTGTGACACGTATGTATTCCGTTAAAAATCTAACGACAGATAACATTTAATGACCACTTCTTAATTAAATAAAAACGAAAGTGATTAAATATTATGTTTTTTTAATTCAATAAAAAAAATAGACCAAACATAAACGAAAGTAATCACGTAGATAACCTTAATTTAAATTACGTATTGTAATGATATATCATAAAGACATTCTTTGAACTTAATTTACTTTGTTTCCTTAATGAAGTGAAATGGAGCATTCACTTTCGGTTGTTTTAGTGCGACAAATCAGACAATTATTGGTGGAAGAGTTCGTTAAGGACTTGAATTCTGACCGAGTTTTGTTGCGAAGTGTCGGCGCCTGCTTAACTTATCCTTGGAGTTGGAGCAGTTGTTTTCACCATTAACTACTACTAATTAACTTATCATTTGCTCACGTGGACCGTTCATATTCCTCCACTTGGATATGGAAATTTGGGTATTGGGTGAACTGTTTTGGGTCAATTATTTCATGCGAAGGTTAATTCATGTTGGAAATTAATTGTATGATACAAATTAATTGTATGATACAAATTAATTTACCAAAGTTTATATAAATATGATTATTATCGGTAATATATGTTAAAATAATATAGATAAATGATTTTTTTTATAAATTCTATATTTAATTATAATCTTACTTAAAAGAGACCGGAGAGTGAAAAGTGAGATTCTAAAAGAAGCGGTGACGAAACTACACAGAGCTCGGGGCTATCCCGAATTTTTTATCATTGAAAAATATAGGAACAAAATACTTATGTACATCTTTAAATTTTAGTTTATTTTGATTTTGTCCACTATTTTCTATTGTTAATTATACTTTTATCCCCCTCGAACTAGAATCCTGACTTCGTCCATAAGAGAAAGGAAATGGAGTGTTCTTAATTGGTCTAAAATTAATGGCCTAAGTGAATATAATAGAACAGAGATGGACAATTTTATCAACCGATCGACTTGCTCATTGATAAATGAATTATTGAGTTTGATAGATTTGAAATACTTAAATAAACAGGATTAATTAGAGTCAAATGAATCTACTGTTATTGATACAAAAATTGAGTTATAAGGGGGGGGGGGGAATAGGTCCTTACGAGTTAGCAAGTGTTGGGGAGAATCTTTGAAGGTTTTGGGTAAATTACTTGTTTAGTACACGAACTATCAATTTGAGTCTATTTTAGTACCTAAATTTTCAATTTTTTTAAAATCATACCTAAATTTTATTTTTTGTTTCATTTTAGTACCCATGTTCAAAATTTAACGTTAATTTTTGAAACAAATTGAAAACTTAGGTACTAAAACAGACCAAAACTGATAGTTTATTTACTAAACACGTTAAGTTTTTGACGGTGGATACTAAATTGAAACAAAAACTAAATGTTTGGCATGATATTGAAAAAATGAAAGTTTAGGTACTAAAATGGACCAAAACTGATAGTTTAAGTACTAAATGCATACTTTACCCTTTTTTGTGAGTAGCTCTTTGAAATTATAAAATTAAAAACTTTGACTTCATCCAATAATATTATACATGACATATTAAACGACATAATTAAAATATAATATGAAACTAACATAAATAATTTAAATACGATTATATGATATAATAATTTATACAAAATACTAATAAACTAATTACTAAGTCTATCTTCAACACATTTACTTAAGATTGTGTAATATCACAAATAATTAAAACATGATATAAAAATTAACATAAATATAATACGAATATTTTAAATGAATATAAATATAAATATTAAAAAAAAAAGTATGTTAATACATATATAATAAAACCTACATATATGCTATGCATTAGGGTCCATTTTAGTTTTACCAAGTCGATTTTAATAATCCTCCACCTTAACGTTCTCTTCCCTTCTCTATTTATCCCCTCTTCCTTTCTTCTCTTTGCCTTTTCCATAGCTGCAAGAGCCATTGTTTTCCTCCCGAAGAAACCTTCGATTTTCGATGCAGTAAACACTCTTGTTTCCGAGTTTCTTCTGTTGAATTATATCAAACCCTAAAAGAATGAGCAACATAAGCTTGGTGGAGGCCAAGTTGCCACCGGGGTTCAGGTTCCACCCTCGAGACGAAGAACTCGTCTGCGATTACTTGATGAAGAAGGTAGCTTCGATCGATACCTTGCAGCTCATGATCGAAGTCGACCTCAACAAGTGCGAGCCATGGGATATTCCCGGTATGTATTCTACATATGTATATGATTTTTCTATTGAACTCGTGAGTTTTTTGGATTCGAATTTCAGATTCATTAAATATTATCTTTTAAAAATGATTGTATGGATCAGTTGATCGGTTAACCTTCGTGTTCTTGTGTTTTCGGTTTCTGGGTTCTAAATCTTTGCTTCGTCCTTAAGGAGAGAGATGAAAGATTGTTTTTGTTTGCATAATTTGCTTGTGGAAAAGGTAATAGCAACTAGACCGAGTCAAATGGATAAATATATTTAAGATATTTATGATGTGAATCTTTCCCATTTTGTGGTGGGAAAGTGTTTAATTCTTTTGAGAAAAAAAATATTTTTATAATTTTTAGGATTTTGTTTATGTTGAATTAGATAGGCTTAAATATAAAATAAATGTCCAATTATATAGTTTTTTTTATGAATAGTTACTTGAATTATTTTTTGAATGATCTCGATGTCTAACATTACAAATGTTATCACTTTAGGTATTTATGTCGTAAACAATGTTAATTTCCTACGTTAGTGACATTTGTCACAATTTGAAAATTTGGATTTTTTTTTTAAATTATTAAAAATATTATAATATTAATAAAAAACCATAATTTCTCTTAAATTATAAAAGGTCTAAAAATCGTAAACCCCCAAATCCTAACCCTAACCCACCACCGCAACTCTTTCTAGTCACGACCACTGTCATCGATGTAGTCCCTGCCATCCTCCTAGTCATATGTCGTAGTTGTCGTCGATTGGATGTTGGAATCGCATGGGATCATAATTTTCATCATAGGGTTCACGGGGAATGAAACATCGATTTTTCGTTGATCGATCGTCAACCGATCACGATTTCATAGAGGTTTTGGTCAATGGGGGAGGTCAGATATGGTGGAGCTTCGTCGACAGCAAAGGGAGGCGGTCAGCGTGAGTTTAGGGGTTGAAACGAATGTTTTCAAAGTTTTGGGATTATTTCAAAATTTATGTGTTTTTTTTTTATATATATATATATTTTATATTAAATTTTTAAAATTACTAGATTGTGATACGTCTCACTTAACAGAGAAAATTAACGTCATTGACGGCCCAAGAACCTAAAGTGATAACGTTTGTAATGTCAGGCACAAAGACAATTCAAAAAATAATTTAGAAATATATTCGTGAAAAACGATAGTTTGAAATACATTTGTTGAAAGACATTTGTTTCGTTTTTACGCATTTTCTACATTGTTTTCTTATTAAAGATATCATATCGTGAAAGTATATTAATGACTTACAATTATCAAGTAAAATTAATAATATTTGACTATTAAACACGTAGTATAATAACAAATGACATCACTTAACTTATTGATATTGGATTTTATATCTAATTTTGAATAATTTTTCATTTTTCCTCACAGAAAAAAAATAGTTAGGATTTCGATATTGAACTTGATGCTGATATAAGATACTTAGCCTTCAAATGCACCTTATATTTTTGTCGATATATTCCAACGATCATAGATTATAATATATGAAAATATAATTCATTCAATTCAAAATTTTAAAAAATATATTTAAATTAGACCGTGTATTTAAAATTATATATTTTTTTAAATTACTCTTTACTAAATTCTACAAAATCTTATATATATAACTAAATCAACTGGGGTGGTTGCTATGTATGTCACCTGAAAATTTTGATATACACAAATTATTATAAATATGTATACACACACACATATATATATATATATATATATATTTAATAATATAATCAACAAATTTTCATATTCTACATCTTTTTATTGAAATTGACAGCCTTGGCATTGCTAAAACCTAAAAGCTGTGAAAGTGACTGAGATAATTAATAAAAATAAACAATTTATATATATATATATTTATTTATTTAAAATTTTATACGAATATAAAAAGACAGTGGTGGGGATTAATTTTTTTTTAAATATTTATAAATATTCAATAATTCCTACATTTTCACATATACCACACGTGTAAGCAAAGCAACCCGTTTGTCTTTTAGGCAAATTACAATTATCATCTCCAATAATTCAACATTAAGGGACAGGAATTGACCGCAAATTATTTTGATTGGGTCACCTGTTTTTATGTCACGGCTGGTGGTCAGTGAACAAACTCTTTGATGCTTCTAAATCTGGACTGCCACGTGTTCATAAACCCTAATCAGTCTTCCCAATTATTTCAACACCCCCATCAGCATACTTATCTAAAAAGAATATTTAATTTTCAACAATTAAAAAAAAGGATAAAAAAGGATAAAGAATTAAAGATATGTTTTGGGTATTGTTTTTCCACTTTGACCAATGGGGGTATTGTTTATGAGGTATTTGTAGGTAATTTCAGTTAAGTTGATTCATGTAAGCATTCTTAAAAGTATAGTTTAATAAAGATAAGATTAAAATTTTAATATATTCGATTTTTGTCGATCCGGACTCGGGTCTTATTCGTTAAAAAATCTATGGCAGAAAGGGCAGCAGTGGGAGGGAAGGAGTGGTATTTTTACAGCAAAAGAGATAGGAAATATGCAACGGGGGTGAGGACAAATAGGGCAACGTGCAGTGGGTATTGGAAGGCAACGGGGAAAGATAGGGCAGTCCTTAGCAAGGGCAAGCTTGCTGGGATGAGGAAAACGTTGGTGTTCTACAAGGGCAGGGCTCCCAATGGCACTAAAACTGATTGGGTTATGCATGAATTCAGGCTTGAAGATCCCTTTTCACCTCCCAACATTTCCACTCTCAGGGTAATCTCTCTCTCTCTCTCTCTCTCTATATATATATATATATAATCCACTTATACATAGTGTAAATATTTTAGTTTTACATTCTTTTATGATAGTTGGATGAGGATAAATTAAAGATTGAGATTACTTTATTATTTTTTTTCTAGTGAATATATTTTCATTTTCTACTGTTAGTTTTAATATCTGATTTCTTCTCATCTAATAATCTTAAAAGGATTTTATACATATATGTTAGAACAATGAAGCAAAATGATTATTTTGTACAAATCAAACAATTTTAGTGGTAAAAAAATATTGTAATTATTCTTTGATGTCTCGAATTCGAGCATCATGAATATCAGGGCTGTGAGCGTTAAGAAAAAAATCCATGTAAGTATTTTTAATCGAAATGATTAAAAATATTAGTTATTTAAATTAACTGATAATATTTTTGAAATGATGATATTAAATTATATTAAATTACTATATATGAATTGAATTATAATTTTGAATATATTAAAAGAATCAAACCTATAAAATTATAATTTTATGAAGAAAATGAAATATTTTTTAGATGGTGCTATTCTAATCCATTATCTTTAAATAATATATGTATTTATCATTTTTCCCCTAAAAGGTCCTTGAATTTTCGCACGAATCTTGGGATATGTTGCAATATAAAATCTATTGAGCATAAAAATATGATTACAAAGTCAAATCTCTACGTGAATTGCTTTTATCTATGGGCTATAGTCTATAGCCTACTTGTTATTTGTCACCCTAATAGAAAATCAATTTAATCAATTATTAGTAAAATATATAGACATAATATGGATGGAATTAGGATTAGATTGAATTAAGTTATTTAATTTTAAAATGTATTTGTTTAATTTTTGTTCTTACATTTACATCAAATTGTTGTTTACATTTGATGATATTATATATATTATTTTTCCCAATGTTTCGGAACCTATGTAGGAAGATTGGGTCTTATGTCGAGTGCTCCACAAAACCAGAGAAACAACCACAACCACCAACCCTAGAAGCATGGGAATCTGTTCGGACGACACAAGCTCATCATCTCTACCACCGTTGATGGATCCTTACACAATCTCCTACCAAATCCGACCGAGCTCCGACGAGCAAGTGCCCTGCTTCTCCACCATGTTGTCCACCCAAAAACCAAGCTTCAATGACATGCAAGCACTGAGCGTGCATGCAAAAACCCAAACGTCGTTGTCTTCTTCATCGATCGAACATCATCATCATCAACAACAACAACAACAAATGATCCCGACAACCATTGACAACAACATTATTTCTTGTCTAGACTCGTTCCCTAATGATAAGACGGTCATTAAAGATGCGTTGAGCAATCTTAGTCAGTTAGACACTTATCTGAACGTCAAGGGATCGACGAGTTTCGATGAAGTTAGTCATTCAGATCAGAGCTACTTGTCTGGAATGTGGGATTGTCCAACATTTGGAATTAATTGAATATTAATGATTTGATGATTAGGGTTTATATGATTAGGGTTTAGGGTTTATGACTGTTTGTAAATAAAAGTAAACTAATTTAGGGTATCGTCAAGATCCCCAATTTAAACATTATTTAATATATATGTTAATCTTAATGTGAAAATTGTAATTAAAGTTTGTTTGGATTGAATATAGGATTGTAATTCGTGAAAGAGACTGATTGTTTGCATATTGCATTTCGTGGCAGATCTTGGTGGTATAGTTTGAGGGTCTAAAAGGTTGATGTCTAATTAAATTCCAAAGGAGTCTCTCATAATTTTACCAAAGAAATTTAAACGAGATTAGACTCTTAACAATTGAGTGACCAAAACAGAAGTAACTTAGAAGTTTAACGGTGAATTTGAGAAGTTATTAAAGTTGATAAGCAAATCAGAAACACAGTCAAAATTGAGTGATCAAAAAGCAGTTTACCCTGATTTTATATTTTATTGAACACAAAAGCTAAAGAAGAAAAGAAGAAGCTGCCCCCCTGCTTCTTCAAGCTTTGAACTGTAATTTTTGCGAGTAATTTTAATTACATGGATTCTTCTTCTTTAGTTCTTTGCTTGCAACTTAAGCTCCACCACCACTCTTTGCCTATCGAAAGCCATTTCCAGCGGCCCGCCTCTCACTTCCTCACCCTTCAACCTAGCTGCCGCCGCCGCCAAGAAATCACTCAGAAAAGTTCTCTGTGAATTCGAACCCATAGTTAATGGCGCACTTCCCCTGGATTCCGACTCCCGTTTCCTCGACAGGTTAACCCCTTTTATTATTGTATTTCGAAGAGTTTGGTCCTTTAAAGCAATTCATTTTTTTGGGTTTAGCCCATTTGAAACATTCCTGCAATTCTGCGGCTTGGGTTTGTCTCTTTTGCTAATTTGGTTCCATTTCTGCTTTTAAAAGGTGAGTTCTTTTGGGAAATATTGAAAATTTCTGTAATTTGTTTACTTGGTATGCTAAGCTCTAGTTTACTTTCATATGGAACACTTGTACTATGTTATACATCTTCTAGTATGAGTATCCATGTCTTAAATATATTCAGGGATGCGTATGGAACATAAATTTTAGAAATAAAATGAGCATACCTTGGTTGGACACATAGCTCGATTCTACCCTCCCTATTGGAATTTGTATTTTTGCTTTAGTCATTTGTTCATTGCTAATGGATTATGATTTCGGTTTCATACCATCTGGTTTTGCTTTATAGTGAATATTATAGTGCAAAATGCAAGAACAAATGTAGTCGTCAACGCTGGTCTTAATGAATTTGGTTGTGTCTACTGCCTTCCGTTTGTATTATTTTGGCTGAATATGTTAATTGAGATTTATTTTTTTTGGATGCTTAATGTTATATGCAAAATTCCATTTTACATTTCAGCAAAAAGCATTGGAGGCTGCAATGAATGATATAAATAGTTCATTCGGAAAAGGAAGTGTTACAAGATTGGGGAGCGCTGGTGGAGCATTGGTGTATGTTTTTGAACTTTTTTTTTTTCGACAAGAAAAGGGACTCGTTAAAAATCCCCCTTCTTAACTGTCAAACTACAGAGATATCTCAACGGACATTGTGTCGTAACTACTTTTCGGTTGGGCACCGGAATTGGACTTCGACTTAGATTAAATGAATTGGAGTCGTCACCGATCATTTATTTTAAAGAAAATGGGTTGATCGGATACCTTATTTCTTACATGATCTGCGTTTTACCAGTGATATGTCGGATTCGGGAGTCGGTTACAATCAAGGAAGGGTTAGCACCATTGAACTGCCCTTTCGGTACTATGTAATTTCCAGTTGTCTTTGGTTAAGAAAAATATAACTTTAAATTAAAATGTAAAATAGCAATCTCAACTACTTACAATTGATTGATTTGAAAGCATACTTTTTAAAAGTCAAAATATGTGTTAGAAGAAATAAATGATAAAGAAAGTAAAACAAATTAAATAAGGAAAATGTTAAAAAATAAAATACATAAAATGAAGAAAAATAATAGCGCACATATATACATAGTAGACAACTAAATAAAAATAAAATGATAATGCAAATAAATAAATAAAACAAACAAAAGGAAGATAAAAAGATAAAAATAGAGAATAACAATAAAAGAAGATAGATAAATAAAAAAGGTACAAATATATATATATATATATATATAAGTAAAGTAATAATAAAAAATAGAAAAAATATATAATAGGAAATCATAAGTAAAATATATGTATATACATATAAGAAATAAAAATAGGATATATATATATATATATATATATATAACTAATAAAACGTAATATGTATATATATATAACAAAAATAATAAGAGGAAAAAAGCAAATAATTAAAGAAAATTAAAATTGAATAGACGAATTGAGGTTAACAGGGGGCTAAATTGAAAAGAAAACAAATTAGGTGGCCAAAATTAAAGACATTTCGGGACAAAGGTCGATTCTTGGGGCAAATTGAGGCACACCAAAGGGAAGGGGACCGAAACTGAGATTACCCCCCTCGTTTCAGAAACACGCGGATCCTGGGGATTCGAATGGGGTCCTCGGGTCGAGTATATAACCCATTTCCCACAAACACTTTCTATTATTTCCCAATTTGCCAACTTGAATAAAAAAGAAAGGTTTTAAAACCTCTGAAGTGTTCATGTGTGTTCATCAAGCAGATGAACATGCCGACGTGCTTTCCAGAATCTGGCCGTAGCGCCGACTCGCCGGCCGCCGTTGAACGGCGCCAGCCACCGTTCATCGGCGACAAATAAAAAAAATCACTTTTTCGAATGCTTTCTGAACCTCCTTTCTAAAAACCAAATTTATTTTTTCAAAAATCGATTTGAAAAACGTAGATCTAAAAAAATAATTTTTTTAAAAAAACAAAGGGCCTCCCTTTCGTTCCTCGGCCGAATGGTTCCCGCTCGAACCAAGAGCAAACAAATGTGTCATGCAAGCCAAGAAAACCAAAAGCAAGGTAAAGATTTACCTATTATTTCACTCCGATTCGATACAAATTACTTCGAACGTTTGTTTGCTTTTTCTTGATTTTTTTTTTGCGTGTAATCTCTGCTTGTCCCCCCTATAGCGTTGATTACATGGGTATTTATATACATAATAATGCTATCTCTAGTTCCGAATTTTCAGAGATTTGTTTGGACTAAAACACTTGTTATTTGTTATTTTGGTGTCCTGAACATCCACGATGGTGGTTTGTTGCCGAGAAGCATGGGATAGAAGCGTGTATGGCGAAGAATCGTGAGGGCTGTTGACCGAAGAACTCGGCCGTAGGACTCTTGGAAGGTTGGGGTTGCGGCGCTCAGCCAAGAGCACCGGTTCAATTTGGACCCGGTTTAGGCGGAGATACAAGCAGACCGATCCAAGTGCTTCACTTTGGGCCATTGCTGGGCCACGTGTTACTGGTCACTGTTGGGCTACTAATCTGTAAAAAAACAAAATGTAAACATTATTACATAATATAATTTGTAATTATATAATGTAACAATATTAATTGGTCAAAATTTGGTGTCTTCACATTGGAAGGAGAAAAAGAGTGCCCAAATTTTATTACTAAACAGAAAATACATCCAGGGTAAAAACCAACTTAAATACAATCCTTCCCCACAAAACAAAACCTTTACCGTGTATGTTTTTTAACTTACCATAACGTTATGGTTTACTTCAATGTGTAGAGTTCAAATTTTGTACCTCGTTAAAATGGAAAAGTATTTCTGCTTGATATGGTTTTAAGTATTATGTTGAGGTTCTATGAGGCACTTAGTTATGGAGTTTGAACTGGAATCGTTTTTGGCCCGACCTCATTTGGTTAAACTTAATCCATTACAGCGAAACTTTTCCAAGTGGTTGTTTGACGCTAGATTTAGCCTTAGGTGGTGGCCTTCCCAAGGGAGGAATCGTGGAGGTATTGATTTTCTCATTCTATATCATTGTTTTTCTCCATGAATTTGATCTAAAATAATTATTTAAATGAACATTATTTGCCTTTGCTGTTTGGACTTTTGGATTTCTATTTGGTAGTTTCCTTTTGATGATGGTGGAGTGGGAAAAAAACGGTAACTTTGTAATTGAAAGGACCTTAGATTTGATCTATCTGACCAGAGGTTATGAGCTAGGGCTTGAAAACACTTAAAACTGAAAAAGGAAGCAATCCGGACATACTTTAAAATGTAAATAGCAAGATATTGCCTACATAGTTGTCTTAAGCACACTTCAGAGATTTTAGTTAGCTACGTCCTTGTATGTTCAATGTCTGCTTCTCCGACTCCCTGTGTCAAAAAAACTGAACCTAAAGTACCATTAATGGTGTTATTACTTGAATTGAAAGAAAGAACAATATGCAGTGAAAGAATCGTTAACACACATCTTTGTTAAGAAAGTAATAGATAGAATGATAACTGATGAAATGTGTTTAGACCTTACTCCTAAAAGCTTTTGATAATCATCTTATTTCCGGTTGGCAAAGGCTCTTAGGCCATGAGTATCTTACTGCAACTTTTTAATTTTCCTAATGAATCCATAGTGCACATGTATTGACATGGAAACATATATTGAAACGTGTTCTTTTTCGCTCCCCTGACTAATTTTGTTTAGCATGTGCCTTTGTGCTAGATTGACTAATTTCAACATTATACTCAAAACCTGATTTGAATGGCATCACAACATCCGATGTTTAACTTGGCAGGTATATGGGCCAGAAAGTAGTGGAAAAACTACCCTAGCACTACATGCCATTGCTGAAATGCAGGTTGATAGTTTTCTTCCCTTTCTTAGTGGGTTTGGTTTCTGATTTATTATGTTACACAAAGTTCAATGAAGTGAAACACTATTTTCATTGTTTTTATGTTAATTATGCAGAAGCTTGGTGGCAACGCTATGCTTGTTGATGCAGAACATGCTTTTGATCCAGCATATTCAAAAGCATTGGGAGTAGATGTTGAAAATTTTGATTGTGTGCCAACCGGATAATGGGGAAATGGCATT